TAACTTCCCTTCACTTAGGTTTTGAGGAACCCTAGCTATGTTTGTTTGATTGGATGATTGTATGAGTACTCTGACTGGATAATCTTGAGTTCATATTCAATCTATGCATGTTTTCATGATTCAATTCTGCTTTAGTCGAGATTATTGATTCTGCTTTGATCCTATGAGAGGGAGTACCTGATTAGGTCAATAGAGCACCATAGATTGATAGTAGTGGATCGATTGCTTTAGTCGAGGGTTGATTCACTGCTTTGTATCGATTGAGAACCTCTTTCGATAGAGGGAGTCTAGTTCAGAACGCCTTGATCAGTTGTTCTAGAGAAGGATACGTCCCTCTAGGCAATTGACTCAAGAGGGCCTTGTTCCTTTAGTCGAGACTCAAGGTCTAGTCAAGGATTCTCCGCATTGTGAATGAAAGTGAAACAGGTTAGAGATCATCAATCATTAATCTGGCTAGTGGCTAGGGGGAATCATACCTAAGTGAGTTCCCAACCTGTAATTAGATTAACTTTAACTGTAGTTTGCTAGAGTAGTTTTAGTTCTTCCTTATTAATCTGGTTTGCTAAATAATAAACTGAAGCTGAGTAATAGTAACTCTAGAGACCCGTGGATTCGATATTTATCACTTGAGCCACTATACTGCAGTCCCTTTCATTGGTTACACTTGGCCATTGTTAGGTGTTGTGTTTTAGCGAGTCAGATACAAAGTTGTCTCATTTGATAGGGTTTACAATGCAACACCTAGATGTTGCTATTCTAAGGACATTGGCGGAGAGGTGACATCCAGACACCAACACCTTCCACATGCCATCTGGAGATATTTTGATCCTTCTCCACGAAGTGCATCACATTTTCTTTCTTCCAATGGAGGGAGAAATGATGAGGGATGACAAACAACCAGATGTTATGAAGGCAAGCATGGGTAGTCTTCTTTGACTCTTGATTGGTGTCTTGGATAATTCTATTGGTGGGAATTAGAAAGCTAAGTGCTACATGAATTGTTCCCTTCATGGTGAGCCTACACTGGTTCATGCTCAAGACCTAGGGATGAAGAGTTTGGGGTCTGTTGTATCTTGTTCATTCTGATGACGTCTACACTAATTGTAGACAAGATTCTCTATCTCATTTGTCTTGTGATCAACTTGTTTCTAAGGAACCACCATTCCGAGACCGGTTATGCTTGGGGAGGTGGGGTTCTTGCTTATCTTTACATGCATCTAGGGTTGGTGACACATGTTGGTAATAAGGTGTCTTTGTAGATGTTTTAACCTCCTACATGTTTGATATATGAGTAATTTCCCATATTTTGGTAGGACAAGTAGTTGTATCCTTTAGTGGTTCCTCGTGCTTCATCATGGGTGTGTCACCGTATGTTAGCTGGGGATGATGCTAAAGAGTGTTTGATAGGTTGTCATAGGAAATTGGATGAAATGTTAGGTAGGATGTGACTCAAACACCATATAAACGAGATGTTGGCATTGAGGTACAACATTCTTTGTACAATGGTGTCATATGATTTTCTAATGTGGTTTAGAGTCTTGCAATCATTCACATTATTTGTGATTGTTGGGATATTTAAAACAATCCCACATATAATGATTACTCAGATGACTATTATCATCTAACTTCTAGCAACAACTATATTGTAACATAGGATGAGAATGTAGATCATTTTAGGGCCATCTTATTGAGCTATGGGATACATTTGGATTTTCTATCCACCCCATGTGAGCACTAATATGATATCCACGAGAGTTTCATGGAATGGTATCAAAATCTCTCCCACCCGTGGATCACTCACCTTAGATCTATTAGACAACCTCGATAGTAGCCACTGCTAGTTGATGCAGTTAGTTTCTATATTATTTTTGCTTCAATATGCCTTCAGGTTATTTCATTCTAACATGCATGGACTATTTTTTGTTAGATGAATAGTCAACTTCTGGACTAAATAGACACTCATTTTGCAGGTGAGGGATTGAAGGCATTTCATAGAGCACACACTTGGGGGTCAATTGCAAGAGTCATTTTTTCAAATGTAGACATTCAAGAAATGTAGGCAATTGGGAATCTAGTCATTTAGAACTATCTTGTATTAGACTATACAAGTGCTCATTATCTGACTCAACCAGAATGCACCACAATAAAACTCCCAATTAAGGCCTAAGTATAAATCTTAACTGGGTGCAGTACAGGGCAAGTATGTTTAAATATCCATCCGAGTCGGTTCATATACCCCTACTTTGATTGCTTGAAACATTATCTAGCGATTGGTTTTTGGTGAAAACAACAATCTATAGCTAAAGCGGGTGCAAAGGTAAAAGGATTTGACACTAATTGAGAAGGCTTCACCCGAGTGTTGCTCCCCCTAGCTAGCAATTACGATTTGTTGGATCGAATAGTCGTGTGTGGTGAGGGGTTGCAAACCGTAGAGAAGTGTAACAAGTAGTCAATGCCACTCTCTTAGTCTCTAGGTCGAGGGAAGGATATATGATCCAAGCCACCGACGTGACTCTCTCGACCTATTGACTAAGCGTTGGTTAGAGTTTGACCTCGAATTGAAGTTCGGACAGCCACCCACAACCAAACCCTAAGTGCTAATACAATCATTCATGAATAATACCTACACATTCACTTTAAGCACAACCACACACATATCATTCAATCCATAGAAGCATTCACATAAATGTAGCTAGAGTTTACAAACACCCAAGTGAAAGAAGGAACTACTCGATGCTAGGAGAAGGGAAACCATCAAAGAGATGCTAGCCTTGCTCCTTGTGTTGAAGAGATCCTCCTTTGGGGGAGGAATTCCCAATTCCTTGTTTGAAGATTAAACCTTAGCTTCTCCTCTTCTTTAGTTCGTCACTTTCTCACTCTAGAAATCTGAAGAAGAAGAAGAAGAAGAAGAAGAAGAAGAAGAAGAAGAAGAAGTTTTTCACACTAGGTCTCCCTCTTTTTCCTTTAGCTCAACCTTCTTTATATACCCAGATCAGGCTCAGTTCACGGTCTTAGTTCATGGTCGTGAACTGAAATCCCAGACCACGAACTGAAGTCGACATGCGTTTCATCACTAATCCCAGTTCACGAGAAATGGCCTGAGTTCATGGTCTTACGACCATGAACTGCCTTGTGTCCAGTGAAAGCTGTTTGTGCTCTGGAAGCCTGGTTGTTCATGGGTAGCGCCTCCAGTTCACGATCTTAGTTACCGTGAACACACGGCCCAAACCGTGATCTGCTGCTGTTTCCACCGTTTGACTTGATTTTTCTCCCTTTCGTCCAACTTTCAACTCCGGGGTTGGTTCCACCTGCCAAAGTCTGAAAAACACCAAAACAAGGCAAAACCCGGCGTAAAACCAAACCTCCCGGAGTAAAAATCATTCAAACGACAAAGCAAACCGGGGGCAAAAAGTGTACAAATGAGCCCAAATAACTATCCTAACCACCAGAGGCATTTAACTAGATGTAGGACTGAAGACATACATAAACACAAGTGAAAAACAAATACAGGTGCTCATTATCCTTGATAGAAGAGAATTAAAAGAGGGATTGAAGGCATTTCATAGAGCACACACTTGGTGGTTGATAGCATCATATTGGCACAAGTTTTCACCCTCGTTTCTTGATCTTTTTGGCTTGAGTTTGTGCTTTCTTGGCATATTTTATGCTAGGTTATGTTCCTTTGTCACATTTCAGGTCCTAGCACGTAAAGTGAAGCATAGGCGCAAGTTTCAAGTCAATCGGAGATTAATTGGCGATTCGGGAGAAGAAAATCGAGCATAACCTGAAGAGGAATGGATTTATACCTCACTTAATGGATAAAGATGTTGCTGGTGTCGAGCGTGAGATGACTGCTCCTCTTTGAGGCTTCTTCCTCCCCTGCTCACCTGAAACCCTAAATCGACTTTTGCCAAGAACAGGTGAAGAACAAAGAAGAACTAGAAGAAATGTACGAAGTGTAAACCGTAAAGAAGAGAAGTATGATTTGGGTATATCTTTCTTTGTGAATGGGCTTGGTTCCTTTGGCCCAGTCAGTTGTTTGTTCCAGCCCAAAGTATTGCACTATCAAGTTATTATTCCCAAAGCTGTGCGTTTCGAAATTACAGACCCAACTCCTTCTTCTTGTTTCACTGAATCAAATCCCCTGTTTGCAGATTAACACACTGAAACTTGTAGAAGCAGAGTAAGTTTTGAGCACAAACTATAAGCAGTAAAATATAAATGAACACAATCACTTTTACGTGGTTTCCAGAGATGGGTAAAAATGAATCCCAACTCTGACTATTCCACGGTCGGATGTTTACGTTGAGGTGATTTTCGACGCTCCACTAAGCTCGAAGTTCCTTGAAGTTTCACAAGCATACAGCACCAAAATCAATCAATCCAATCCTGGAAAGTTGATTGATTCGACTCAACCCTGATATCTCACCCAGTTATCCAGCTACTGGGTTTTAATCAACACACCCCTAACCCAAATTCTCTCCAGAAGATGAATTAGTCTCTCTTTTCTTATCAATCACACTAGCTATGATCTTAGCTCTCCCTGGATGAGTGATCTCCTTAAAAGTGCGCATCTACTTGCTTCATTCAGCTTTTTATTCTGGAACTATTGTGTCGTTACTCCTTGCCTTCCTTTTCTTCCTTGAATTGGTTTATGGTAAGCACTTGAAAACTTTCCTTCTTGTATTTTAAGACCGTTCCCAGCATTCTTGTTCTTCACGAAACTTAAGCACGTTTTAGCCCTTTTGACAAGATGCTTCAAACATTCTCCCCCTCAGCTTGTCAATGATTCTTTCTCATGTACCTGTTGTTCCCGCACACACTTCCACAAAACGATTACGTGCAGACTGCTCCACCATTTATTATAATCACACAGTGTTATACTATGATCAAACGAGAGACACACAAAAGGAGTTCTTTTATTTCAAGACAACATCAACCGATTCTAGAACAAAGTCGACTCTAGAACAATTAGACACGAATCGATGACTGACTTCCTAGGCAACAAATGCTCTTTCTTAGAGCTTTATTCAAAACATAAGGACCCTGATTCAACTAAACTCAAGACATAGTAAGCTACATGCTCCCCCTACACAGAACTCCCCTATTAACCAAACAAGATTAGAAAGGATAGGTTGGGGAAGACAAGTAGTCAGAGATTTCCCCTTCATCTCCACCTAACTCTTCCTCCATATCAGCAGTGCTGAGACCATCTTCAGGATCTTCAGGTTCATCTGCTAAGATCTCTGCAGGAACTGCAGGACCATCTTCAGGTTCAGCTGCTAAGGACTCTGCAGGAACTACATGACCAGTCCTGTCTCCCCATGAAGCATTGACCCGAGGACGACGGCGGCCAATAGAGGCATGAACCCTGCGGAGAACAAACTGAGCGCGAAGGGTGTCGATAAGATTGACCCGAGCCACTTTGTAGTGAAGATCAAGACCAAGGGCACGCATCAGCAGAGTGATTTGAGGAGCGAAAGGAAGCTCCTCATTGAAGTTATCATCACAATAATGGAGCATGTGACTAAACATGAGATGGGGATAGCTGATGGGGCGATTTTCTTTGGCACTAGCAAGCATCCACATATCCATGGGGTAAATCCTGTAGAGATCGTGAGAGCGAGGGAGGAAAACACGAGTGATGAAGAAATGGAGCACTTTGAGATCGTCAGGAAGTCGTCCAGTAGCAAGCCGTGAAGGATAGTATTCACATGTATCCCTTGTGTACAGTCGAATGGCTTCAACTTCATTGAAGCCACATTCCTGGAGAAAATGGATTCAGAAGAGGTCTCGTAGACAAAACCCTGTTTATAAAATATGAAGAGTGCTTTTGAGATGAGTTTAATGGGGGAACTGAACTACTTTCTAGGTCTTCAGATTAAACAGATTCCCCAAGGAATTTTTATCAATCAGTCGAAGTGATTAAGCGTTTTGATCTAGGAAATCTTAAATCTGCTCTCACCCCTATGGCTTCCTCTTTAAAAATTGATAAGGATGAATCTGGTACTTCCATTAATGATAGGCTTTATAGAGGAATGATAGGGTGTTTGTGTGTGCTCGGTTTCAGAGCTCTCCTAAGGAGAGTCACTTAACTGCAGTCAAAAGAATCTTTCATTATCTCAGTGGTACCCCTGACTTGGGTCTATGGTATCCCTGTGACTCGAGCTTAGACTTGATAGGATACTCGGATTCAGACTATGCTGGTTGTACCATTGACAGAAGAAGCACTTCGGGTACATGCCATTTCCTAGGGTCCTCTCTTGTCTCTTGGTATAGCAAGAAACAAAATTTTGTTGCTCTGTCTACAGCAGAAGCAGAGTATATTGCAGTAGGAAGCTGCTGTACTCAGCTTCTGTGGATGAAGTACCAACTCCGAGACTATGGTCTTCACTTAGGCACTCTTCTTGTTCTTTGTGACAATACTAGTGCCATCAATATGACCAAAAATCCCATTCTGCATTCGCGAACAAAACACATAGAAATTAGATAACACTTCATTAGAGAGTTGGTCGAAGAAGGCCACATTTCTTTGGAATTTGTTCCCACTTCCAGCCAATGGGCTGATATCTTTACTAAGCCTTTGGGCTCAGATCTGTTTCTCTCTAATCGTCGTGAGTTCGGCATGTTTTCCTGGTCAGAGCTTGAGAATCTGAAGTGATTCTGAATTTAAGTGAGTATCCCTCTTTGGAGTCGTCACTTCCTATTCTTTAGTACCAAGTCTTACCACATTTCCTTTCTGCAATAAGTGCCAGGAATATTTTCCTTCTCTCTCAGTTCCATCCTTCCTTTCTCTATCTCTTCGTATTCTTCTTACCTAAAACTCCTACTCTGCAGCAGGGTTATTTATCACTCTTGTAAACCGTGCAGTACACCCATGGAACAAAATTTGAAGCTTAACAAGGAGAGTGGTGAGATGTTGGAAGATCAGTCTTATTATCGTAGTGTGGTGGGAAGTCTGATCTATCTAACACATACTCGACCAGACATTGCATATGCAGTACAGGTTGTGAGTTAGTTTATGGGAATTGCACGAACAACACATCTTAATGTGGTACATCGGTTGCTTAGATATTTGAACCAAACAGAGGATGTTGGTATGTTTTTTCCTAAAGGTGGAACTCTGATGCTGGAAGCATTTGCAGATGCCGACTTTGCTGGGTGTCAGGTAACAAGGAGGCCCACTTCAGGTTGGTGTATATGTTATGGAAGGTTTTTTGTATCCTGGCGGTGTCGGAAACAGGATAACATGTCTAAGTCTTCTACAGAAGCAGAATATCGGTCAATGTCTGAAGTAAGCTCAGAGATTGTGTGGTTGGAGAGACTGTTTCAAGAGCTTGGTGTGGAGTGCAAGCAACCTATGCGCATATATGGGGACAATACCATTGCTATTCAGATAACAAATAATCCTTTCTTGCATGATAGAACAAAACATATTGAAATTCATGTGCACTACATCAGACACCTGGTTTCTGAAGGGATGGTCCAGTTAAGTTATTTTGCAACTGAAGAGTAGACTGCAGATTTGTTGACAAAGGTTGTTTCTTCTAGTAGACATTGGTATCTATCTTCCAAATTGATGTTAAGAACCCAACATCAATTTGAGGGAGGGTGTTGATTATGATAAGTATAGGTACCAGTATGTAAATATGTAATGAGGTTTGTATTAACAAACCTATAAATATCCTGTTGTACATGTTGATTAGGGTTAACAAAAATAAAAGACTAAGACCTTAGAGGGAGATCCTCTTTGTGGACTAGTGTCATCTTGACGAAACCACGTTAAAAAACTTCTTGTGTTCTTTCGATTCTGCTATGCTTTGTTTAATTGTCATGTTGATGCTTTTTCCTGATTGCACAATTGTGATGTCACTCTACAATTGATTAATAGATAATTTACTACATCCAATAATAGTTTCCTTTTCGTGACCAATAGATAATTAGGGATATAAGTACGATGTCATTTTTGCTCTCAAATCCTAGGAAGCTCACAAAGTTCTTCCAAGGCCAAAATCTTCCTTGTGGTGTGAACATTCAAATCTCGTAGAGACTTAGGTCATCCTTCCTCGAACTCCCTAAAGTTTACAAGTACACGAGGGTATGGCGTACAAAACCTTCTTCAACGGACAACTAGGATTATCCTCTTCTTACAACTAGAATACATCCTCTAAATTATCCACAAACATATATACATGTACCGTCATTTCCTAAAGTCACTAATAAGTCTTCATAGTTTCTAGAATCTTCCACAAGATTTTATAATCAAACTAAATCTATATATACAAGCTTGTTTCTAGAGTATTTCAGTTCTCCTAATTGCTCTCACGTTTCTTGGCTCTATTAGAATGTTAATACCATTCTCTATGTTCTGGGATGCTCTGCATTCTTCTTCATATTTCAAAAATATTGTGCACTCCTATTGAGACTTCACATCCCTACAGTTGAAAAAGTTGGCCATGTTGATCGACGACAAACTTTTGTGATCTCTCTCCGAACGCAATGCAACAAACTAGTCCACCACACAAACATTCAACGAGAGAGGAAACGGAGAAAGAGAGAAGATCATTGAAAAATGAACAAGAAGGTTTCGAGATATATATAGTCAAACTGCCACCTCATCAATACAAATGTCGCGACAATCATTGCAATGCATGTTATCAATTTAATCACTTGATTGTGTTCCTTCTTGTGTAGCATGTAGGCAGCTACGATCGACCATCCACATCTCTAGCACGCACGACTCGTATGCATGCAGAAGTACGTAGTACTTTTGATCAAACCGTCAGAAGATCTCCTGTGCTATATTAACTAATCAATGGTAAATTTTTTTAGTGTTTAATTAATTCGTGAGTATATGTCTTTTTTTGTTTTTTTCTCCTCCCTTCTTCTTCCCAATCTCCCTGATCTCTCCTCTAAATGTCAATGTTGTCTCTCTTTTCTTACCCCCTCTATTGTCAATGGTTTTCCCCTATACACAAAAGCTTTTCCCAATACTTAAATAGTCAGAAGCTAGTAAGATTGCATGACTGAACAGGCCACAGCTTGAGCCCAATGCCTCAACTTGGTCTTCACTTGATCTGGATGGTCACCTGCATCCAAAACCCCCCACATTATATTACATTACATTATCCTAGGCTTCCTAGCAAATACATAGGTTGGACTAGTGCTAATGTAAACATGATGAAATTCTATTTGCGTTTAAAGCAATTATTTGATGGGTTAGTAATATTATCTGGTACCAATAGCATATATGTTTGCATGCACAATGTATCGCAATTTTTCCCCAGAAAGCTGCTAGCTTATCCGAATAAACCTACCCCTAACTGTTTAAATCCAATTCGTAATTAAGCTCTTTCAAGCACCAGATATTAATTAATATTACAGATAATAATTAGCTAATTAATGACATTTTTTTTGTCAAGGATGCAAGTTGGATTGATCTAAGGAGCACACAGAAAGACGCTATAAGTGGAATAATAATAAAAATAAAAATGGGATGTATGTACCTGGGTTGCAAATCTTCCAATCCTTTTCCGGGTCGCTTTTAGGGCTTTCCAACGTCTGCTGACGCTCGAGTGACCGGCGGTTGGGGGTGGAAACCGGGCTGGGAGACAGCTGGCGGTTGACGGCGAAATACAGATCCAACGCCGGGAACGTGTTTGTCAGGTGCTGCCCTTTCTCCTCATTGAACCCGAACCCGAGCTCGATGCATCCCTTGAGCTCGTTGAGATCCTCGTCGGTAAGGTCCTCCGACGACTCCATCAACGGGATCCCTCTCTTCCGGCGCTCCTGGCTCAGGATCTGCCGCCTCCGCCGCTCCCACGCCACGTCGCGTGGCGTCTCGCACATCGACAGCTGCTTCGACAGGCACTTCTTGCTCTTCACCGCCACCGCCGGAGCCGCCGCCTTCCTCTGCTGCTGCTGCTCCTCGTCCGCCGTCGCCGCGGGAGCCTGCATCGGGAGCACCGGAGATTGTGGCGCGGAGGCCGTCGTCGCGAACCTCGCCACCGGGACATCCACTGTTATGTTCCTCTTGTTCCTGATCCTCTTGTTGCCGCTGGGCTGTTGAGGTCTCACCAGCGTCGATATTTGAGATGTCATTTTTATTATATATATGACGATGGAGGGGTCTTTAAGAGTTTAAGTGAAGGTCGGTGGTGGCAGCGGCAGCGGGCAGGCTGTCGGCCGCCACCGGTGGCCTGGGGAAGAGAGGGAGATTGGGCGGAGCTGGGGATTTAATTAATCCGTTGTGTTGGCTATTGATTAGAAGAGAATGAGGTTGGTTTTTTTGTTTCGAGAAATGGAGAGCTAAGTCGTCGATCGAAGGAGGGGAGGGAGTCGATCGACCGACGACGAAGGAGGAGGAGACCTAGCTAGCGGTGGACGATGGAGGAGATGGGGAGACGAAGGGATTATAATAGGCGTTGTGGAGGAAGTTGCGGTCAGCCGTTGGGTTGGGTTGGCTTCTGTTCTGTGAGATGGAAGTCTACCATTCGTTTGTAACCGTCTCAGGAATTGAAACCATTGGACTTCAATTTTTTTTTTAACGGGGGAATGTTTCGTTTTGTTTTGTCTTATTTTTTTTTGGCTTTTGTTTTTTTACGTAAATCTCAGGCAAAAATTTTATTTTATTTCTGTTTCAATAAATTGTTTTATTTTATATTTGGCGCATATATTTCCGGACAAAATCAAATAATTGTGGATTTTACATGGATTTTGTTATACGCTTTTCAATTGAAAGTCGTTTCATGGCTTGGAGGTGGACTTCAGTTCGATGGACCGTCGTTCTGTGACCTTGGGATTTAAGATATGTATCTCTATTGCGGATCAAAGGAGATCGGTAACCTGGTAATTTCTTGCGTGAAAAAAGTTTGACGATACAAGATGGTCCAGCGAATCAAAGAGACCTTTTTTGCGAAAGACGCGCCCAAGAAGTAAATCCATGCAGTCAGGGGCTGAAGGGAGAGTGTAACAAGATGTTCTTGAAAATTTGAACGCACGATCACTGTGTCAAAGCAGTTCTTGATACCATGTTGTAAATCAGTTAGTCCCAATAATTCGAATTGTTGGGACAACACTAATTGTGAGTTTTACTAATTTACTCTAATCTTCTTATAGGTTTGAATTTGAGATTATCAGTATAATCCTTTTTTAAAATATTATCTGCTTCTTTATGTGTACTTGAAGGTACGTAGGTACTTATATCCAAAGCTAAAGAAGTGTTACTTAAGATGTATATGAGCCCAATAAAGAAATTTCTTTATATGGTTAACATAACTATTAACGACCAAGCAAGTCGGGTTATATATTAAAAGGAATAAATAAGTAACCAAGTTGGGGAAAATGTTCTTTTACTCATCTGCAAGTATGTTTTAGTGAAGCAAGAAAAAGAAGCATGCAGACACGATACCATATTAAACGTTCAACATGTTCGATATAAACCACGTGGGACTCCAATTTTATTTTGTTCACTGGCCACCAATACATCGATTTGTAGTTAATTAGATTATTAGCGACAGTGAAACCCTAATAACTGAACCTATTTCATGTGACATAGCAACTTATCGAAGCGACAGTGGATTAAATAAGGTGCTATGCGGTCTTGAATAGGATATCGGGCATAAGGCTATATAATTAATTTATTGAGCTACGACAGTAGGATTTGAATTGATTATTTAGTACATAGTAATTCCCGACAGGGATAGCTAGCACAGTAGTGATATCCTGGCTGTAGACATATGGATTAAACTGATTGGAATATGTGAATTAATTTTGATATGATAGGTAGTGAGTCCCGGTGTTTCTCCCAGAGCTTTCTCCGTTGAATTTCTCCCGACAGTTTTCATTACTTAATTTGTTTATTTAATTCTGATTTTAGAAATTAGTTTATCTCTCAAAACCATTTTCACTTATAGTTTGCTCCATAAATTGATAAAACTCAAGGTTGTACAAGTCCCTGAGAGACGATACCCGGACTTTCCGGTTTACTACAAGATAGGATTAAGGCATATACGCTTTTGCCCTATCAAGTTTTTGGCACCTTGTTCCGTTGCCGCTGACATCAGCCCAGTCATCCAGCATACCTACTAACAACTTTGAGATCAAGCCCTTATCGATCCAGTTGATTACGACCTCCATTCAATTTCATGGGCTCAAGGATGATGAGACGAGGGTGCACCTTTCTCTGTTCTTGGAACTGACCAACGATTTCAAGCTGAATGGTGCTTCAGATGATGTAGTCCGACTTCACCTTTTCCCCCACTCTCTGGCGGGGCACGCAAAGATGTGGCTAGAAACTCAGCCGTCACTATCCATCACTTCTTGGGATGATATGGCTGACAAATTCTTGCATTGGTACTATCCGGCCTCGAAGACTTCCGAGATTCAACGGGAGATCACCCATTTTTGCCAGGACGATGATGAATCGTTGCGCGACGCTTGGGAACGGTATTCTGGAATGTTTTGGAAGTGTCCCCACCATGGTTTCGGTGATGCATTCACCATGGGGAACTTCTACAATGCTTTGTCCCCAGAGAGTCAGCGGTTGATCGAGTCTTTGTGCCTGGGTGGAGACATTCTCCCAAAGACTCCACCAAAGTTGAACTAGATGATTGATACTTTAGCCTCCTGGGATCATTCTTGCTGCCAGACCACCAGAGGCAGGAGTTTGAGGGATAGAGGTGTGCATGTCGTGGAGACCAAATCAGGCCTTGAACGAGAAGTGACAGATTTGGTTCAGTCATTGAAGCTACCCAATAGCCTTATGCCTGGTAGAGGCATGTCGGCTCCTCCAGTAGCCCAGTATTAGTGGTGCAAAAGCTCCAACCATTTGGTGGAAGATTGTTAGGCAATGCAGGAATCAACCACCCCACATGAGCAGTTGGACTTCATTGCCAACGCTCGGTGCCTCGAACATTACAGTTGTACTTATAACGAGGGGTGGCACCCGCACCCCAACTTCTCCTAGGGTGGTAGCAATAGCAGTACCACCAAGCTTGCTGGCTCGCAAAACCACCTGGTGGTTTTCCCCAGAGGCAGCAGTATCAAAACCGACAGGGGCAGTTTCCACAAAAGTCGCCATTCCAGCCCAGACAGGGGCAACCTTTTCAGCCGCAGCAACAGCAAACTCAGAAGCCGACAACGGCCCCAATACAGGGTGATTTGATGTCCAAGCTACGAAATATGGTGACGACCTTCGTGATTACCAGTGCTCAGAAGTTCGCCAAGATGGACCAGTTCATGGATTTTTCCACAGGGAAATTCAATGAATTGGAGGCAGGTCAGAGGAACCACAATGCCATTCTGTAGGACCTCCAGTGCTTGCTTGGGGGCATAGCCCAGCGCAACAACCCTAGAGCGTGATAGACCAATAATTACACATGTTTTTACCCCTATTCTTGAGTCGTTTGAGATGTAGATTCTCGCGTTTTAGGCCGATTTCACGCTAGGTTGTTCTTGTTGTGATATTTCAGGGTCGTGTGATTATGGCCATGTGGGATGGCTGAAGTCACTTAATCGAAACTCCGCATTTTGACACTCACGCGGGCAGCCTGGAAAGCCACATGGCCGTGTGGTCGGGAAATTCTGGGTTTTAACCCAATTTTGAGCCAAAGGAAAGAGAGAGCGGGGTTTTGGATCCCAAACACCCTAGGGACGAACCAAAGAGAGAGAGAGCAATCTGAGGGCATTCTTGGAGTGGAATTGGAAGCTTTCTTTGCCTTGGAAGCTCGAGGAACAAGCCCGGACTTGAAGACTGATCATCTGAAGATTCTTACTGCAGTCTCTCTCTTCTCTATGGAGTAACTTCCCTTCACTTAGGTTTTGAGGAACCCTAGCCATGTTTGTTTGATTGGATGATTGTATGAGTACTCCTACTTGATAATCTTGAGTTCATATTCAATCTATGCATGTTTTTGTGATTCAATTCTGCTTTAGTCGAGATTATTGATTCTGCTTTGATCCTATGAGAGCGAATACCTGATTAGGTCAATAGAGCACCATAGATTGATAGTATTGGATCGATTGCTTTAGTCGAGGGTCGATTCACTACTTTGTATCGATTGAGAACCTCTTTCGATAGAGGGAGTCTAGTTCAGAACGCCTTGATCGGTTGTTCTAGAGAAGGATATGTCCCTCTAGGCGATCGACTCAAGAGGGCCTTGTTCCTTTAGTCGAGACTCAAGGTCTAGTCAAGGATTCTCCGCATTGTGAATGAAAGTGAACAGGTTAGAGATCATCAATCATTAATCTGGCTAGTGGCTAGGGGGAATCATACCTAAGTGAGTTCCCAACCTGTAATTAGATTAACTTTTAACTGTAGTTTGTTAGAGTAGTTTTAGTTCTTTCATCTTAATCTGGTTTGCTAGATAATGAACTGAAGCTGAGTAATAGTAACTCTAGAGACCCGTGGATTCGATATTTATTACTTGAGCCACAATACTGCAGTCCCTTTCATTGGTTACACTTGTCCTTTGTTAGGAGTTGTGTCATAGCGAGTCAGAGCTCCAGGCACTCTTCCTACCAACACCATCCCAAAATCCTCGTGATTCTCTCCAGCAGTTGGATACCATTACTACGAGAAGTGGGAAAACGACGGATGCAGTTCTTGCTCCAGTTAGGCAGGATGAACCAAGATCTGTTTCAGCACTTCCAGCCAAAGACGAGGAAGTGGAGATTGAGAAGGAAGAACCTGCTCCCAAACCACAACCAGTGGTTAAGGAGCATGTTCCCCGACTTCCTTTCCCCACTCGTATGCACAAGGACCGACTGGAGACTGAATTTGCCAAGTTCATGGCAATGTTGAAGTAGGTGAACATCAGTATGCCTTTCATGGAGGCACTGTCGAAGATGCCCAAGTACGCAAAGTTCATGAAGGATCTCCACACTAGGAAGAGGAAGTTTGGGGAGCTCTCGATGGTGATGTTGAATGAGGAGTGTTCTGCCATCATGCAGAACAAGCTACCGGAAAAGTGCAAAGACCCAGAGAGTTTTACTATCCCTTGCATAATAGGTAGTTTGCGTGTAGGGAAGTTCTTGGCGGATTTAGGCTCTAGCATAAACGTCATGCCATATAAATTATTTCAGAATCTAGGCCTAGGTGAAGCCAGAAATACTAGGATGAGCATTCAGTTAGCCGACCTATCTATTGTGCATCCTAGGGGCATTGCAGACGATTTTGTAGTTACTGTAGGACCATTTCATATCCTGTTGATTTTGTGATTCTTGATATAAATGAGGATGGGGAGGTGCCTTTGATTTTGGGTCGATCTTTTCTTGCCACCACCAAAGCACTTATTGATGTGAAAGATGGCAAGCTAATTTTGCGGGCTGGGGGTGAACAAATCACCTTTTGTGTCTGAAAATATGAAACACCCCCAGTCCCATGATGATTTAGACTATTGTGATGTGGTTGCTGATTATGAGACCGCACTCTCTATCACGAGTGTGGGTACTAATGATTTCCTCTAGTGTTGTCTTTTGCTAGGGGAACAAGCATCATAAGTGCTGCAGCTG